TATCACTCTAGGGAGCTTAATGTCGTAGTAGGTGGGAGTGGCCAGGCTGGATGCCATGCCTCCCACACGACTTTCTACAAATAAATACTTTTCACCTCTCACCCTACATTAAGACCATTAAGACTACAAATATTTTAAGGTAAGTAATGCGTGTACTGTATATGCATTTTATCCCTCTAGGGAGCTTTAAGCATCGTAGTATAGTATGTGTGGGTGAGGTGGCCAGGAGGTAAATAATGGGTGTACTGTGTGTGTATTTTACTTTTTAATGCCTAGTTCTATTGCTAACTTAATATATGTTTGCGTAAACTTGTTATCTGGCATTTTTATGCATTTATAAATGGAAAAAATGGAGTTCTGCTTTCTGGCGAAGTCTGCTTCCTGGCAGTAGCCTGGAACCTAACCTGCCGAATAAGTGGGGCCCCACTGTATTTACTGTACATATACCAAAGAAAATGGGGTTGCATGAATTACAGTATACCAAAGAAAACAGGCTTGCATGAATTACAGTACATAGAGGGATAACATCAGTATTTTACATTCTAGCACTGCGGGAGACATAGCAGTACAGTACTGTATACGGGTTTATCTTTGCATTCTTTTTTTCTTTTTTAAGGGAGGGTGATGTATGAAGCTGAGTTTGAAATTATATTAAAGTGTTTTGGGGGCATATTTAGGGTTTAAACTATAAAACTAGGCGTTTATAGGCATTTTTTTTTAACAGCGTCCAGAATTTGTGGTTTTTCCAAATTCGTGGATGGTCTTGGAACATAACCCGCATGAATTTGGGTGGACTACTGTAATTTCATCAGGTGAACAACCTTGTCGGTCCTTGACCAAGGACCACCATTTTTGGGAGCCCACTCTACCTGATGCCTGCTTTCTTTTTGTGTTGGTCTTTCATCTACAGATGGTCCAATTTTGAACTTCTTCCATTTGCCAACAGGCTTGTCTGTACAGGTTTCTGTTATAGTGGGATGCCTCTTATACAGCCTCTCAACAACAAAAGCCAAACCAAGGCTCACTCTAAGTTGCCCAAATGCTCTGCAAATCAGGGGCTTCCTATAGGCAGTAGTATGCCAATGTCAGCTAGGTCTATAATAGTTGCATCATGTACAGTGGACCCCAGGCATACGATGGCATCGGCATACATTAAATCCGGCCTACGATACATTTTAACATAAAAATTTTGCCTCACCACACATTAAAAAACCCGCCACACGCGATTCGTCCGGGACACGTCCACGTGTGGCCTGAACTGCCCCGTGCATGCCAGTGTTTACAAGCCAGCCAGTGTGCTCGCATCTAAGCATACATTCGGTACATTCCATATTATCACAGTGTTTTTGGTGTTTGTTTCTGCAAAATAAGTCACCATGGGCCCCAAGAAAGCTTCTAGTGCCAACCCTGCAGGAAAAAGGGTGCTAATTACTATGGAATTGAAGAAAGAGATAATTGCAGAGTACGAAAGTGGAGGGGGTGTGTCGGAACTGGCCAGGTTGTATACCAAACCCTAATCAACCATCGCTACTATAGTGGCCAAGAAAACGACAATCAAGGAAGCTGTTCTTGCAAAAAGTGCAACTTTGTTTTCGAATAAGAGATCGCAAGTACTCGAAGATGTTGAGAGACTGTTATTGGTGTGGATAAATGAAAAACAGATTGCAGGAGATAGCATCTCTCAAGCGATCATATGTGAAAAGGCTAGGAAGTTGCATGATGATTTAATTGAAAAAATGCCTGCAACTAGTGGTAATGTGAGTGAATTTAAGGCCAGCAAGGGTTGGTTTGAAAGATTTAGGAATCGTAGTGGCATACATAGTGTGATTAGGCATGGTGAAGCTGCCAGTTTGGACCAAAAAGCAGCTGAAAAATACATGAAGGAATTCAAGGATTACATAGACAGTGAAGAATTTAAACCTGAACAAGTGTTTAATTGCGACAAAACAGGCCTGTTTTGGAAGAAATTGCCAAGCAGCACCTACATTACTCAGGAGGAAAAGGCACTCCCAGGACATAAGCCTATGAAAGACAGGCTTACTCTTCTGATGTGTGCCAATGCTAGTGGTGATTGCAAAGTGAAGCCTTTATTGGTGTATCACTCAGAAACTCCCAGAGCGTTCAGGCAAAACAATGTCCTCAAGGCTAATTTGTGTGTGCTGTGGAGGGCAAACAGTAAGGCATGGGTCACTAGGGACTTTTTTCTATGACTGGTTACGCCATGCATATGCCCCCAATGTGAAAAATTACCTAACTGAAAAGAAATTAGACCTTAAGTGCCTCCTGGTATTAGACAATGCCCCTGGTCATCCTACAGACTTGGCAGAGCGACTTTCTGGGGACATGAGCTTCATTAAGGTCAAGTTTTTGCCTCCTAATACCACTCCTCTCCTGCAGCCCATGGACCAGCAGGTCATTTCCAACTTCAAGAACTGTACACAAAAGCAATTTTTCAAAAGTGCTTTGAAGTGACCACAGACACTCGACTGACTCTACAAGAGTTTTGGAAAGATCACTTTTATATCCTCAGTTGTGTAAACCTTATAGGTAAGGCTTGGGAGGGAGTGACTAAGAGGACCTTGAACTCTGCTTGGAAGAAACTGTGGCCAGAATGTGTAGACAAAAGGGATTTTGAAGGGTTTGAGGCTAACCCTGGGAATCGTATGCCAGTTGAGGAATCCATTGTGGCATTGGGGAAATTCTTGGGGTTGGAGGTTAGTGGGGAGGATGTGGAAGAGTTGGTGGAAGAGTTGGTGGAGGACAATGAAGAACTAACCACTGATGAGCTGCTAGATAATCTTCAACAGCAAGAGGCCAGACCTGAGGAAACTGCTTCGGAGGAGGGGATAGAGAAACTGAAGAAGTTGCCTACTTCAAAGATTAAAGAAATGTGTACAATGTGGACAAAGGCGCAAACCTTTATGGATGAAAATCACCCCTCACACGGCTATTGCAAGCCGTGCTGGTGACTATTACAATGACAATGTTGTGAACCACTTTAGAAAAGTCATAAAGGAACGAGAGGTACAGGCCTCTATGGACAGATATGTTGTGCGACAGAAGTCCACTGACTCTCCAGCTGGTCCTAGTGGCATTAAAAGAAGAAGGGAAGTAACCCCAGAAAAGGACTTGCTACCTCAAGTCCTAATGGAAGGGGATTCCCCTTCTAAACAATAACAACTTCGACACTCTCCCCTCCTCCCATCCCATCAATCATCAACAGATCTTCATTAAAGGTAAGTGTCATGTATTCTATTGTTAGTAGAGTACTACTAACTGCGCATGTCTTCTTCAGTTTGTATGCATTAAACTTAATATTTCATGTGGTAAAACTTTTTTTTTTCATACTTTTGGGTGTCTTGCATGGATTAATTTGATTTCCATTATTTCTTATGGGGAAAATTAATTCGCCTTACGATAATTTCGGCATACGATGAGCTCTCAGGAACGGATTAATATTGTATGCCGGGGGTCCACTGAACTTGTAAATTATTATTACTATTATTATTATTATTGTCAGCATCTGCGGGTGGGCATTAGCCAACCAGCGATGTGGTAGCTTGCCTCACATGCACCATTTAAGTTAATAGGAGCATCAGTTCTTATGTGGATGGGATTTAGCCCACCAATGATGTGATAGCTTGCCTCTTGGACATCGTCTGAGCCAATAGCAGTGGGGGTCTGTCCACTGTGATATCGCCTATAACTGCTTCACCTCACCTGTCTACAGTACATAAGCCACTTCTTCACACATATGCTGTATTCTTTTCAAGATTGATGGACTGATTACATTGACTCCAGGCTAAGAGACTGATTACCTCAAACTCCTTTTGATCTTCACCATTCTTCTTTGTTTAGGACTGATGAAGCCACTGCATGGCGAAACATTTCCTCAATAAGGATACCCAAGTGCTGCACATGTGTCTAATTTATCAACTTGTCGGTTCTCTGAACCATTTAACCCTTTCAGGGTCCAAGGCCCAAATCTGGAGTCACGCACCAGTGTCCAAGAATTTTAAAAAAAAAAAAATTTGTTATTTTTTCTTATGAAATCGTAGAGAATCTTTTTGTGAAGGTAATAAAACAAAAAGTACGAAATTTGGTGGAAAATTGACGAAATTATGCTCTCGCGAATTTTGATGTGTCAGCGATGTTTACGAATCGGCGATTTTGCCGACTTTGACTCCCATTTTAGGCCAATTACATTATTCCAATCAACCAAATTCTTAGCTATTTCACTAGTATTACTTCTATTCTATCGATTGAGCACAAGAAATCGCCAAGTCAACTGTTTCAACTACAAAATAAAGTGATCGGAAATTGTTAATTTGGCCAATTTAACACAAAGTTCAAAATATTCCAATTTCAAAATAGGGTCCAGAATAAACAATGTAGGCATTCCTGGCACTAAACTAACATTTCCTCTGTTCATTAGTTATGTTTTGAGGCTTTACAAATAAATTCCATTTTGATTTTTTATTCACATAATGAATTTTTATTCACACCAAAAAATAGAAGATTAACTGTTATGCAATACTGTAATAATTGTATAAATATCATCACCATATTTGTGAATGTATATTAGACCCACCAGCTGACGTGTATTAGACGTGTGAGGTCGTTTGTTTACTCTTGAATATCGGCAAAAATTTAACATTTCCGCTACTTTGAGCTCAGTTTCAAGCCATTTCCAGTGCTAAAACCAATGAAAATCATCTCTATTTCTGTAATATGTCTTCCATTCTATCAAATGAGACCAAGAAATCGCAAATACAACTATAAAAAACATACAAAAAAACACTGCAAAGTTGCTGTTTTAATCGAAAAATCATGATTTCAGTTTTTTTCTCTCATTATACACAGTGTGCTGCAGGATCTCTTTTATGTGGTGCACACATACCACATAGATGTATTCTCTCATATCTAGGCCCAAATGTACCACTCACAGTTTATCAGAGTGAGCTGAGCTCATGGCGTAGATCTATGGTTTGGACACTCACCGTAAAGCCGTAGATCTACGGGACGGACCTGAAAGGGTTAAATAAAATGATCAGAAGCTAGTAATTTGGCCAATTACACACAAGTTTCAAAATAAAGTCCAGAATAAACAATGTAGGCATTCCTGGTATTAAAATAACATTTCCTCTTAAGTTACATTTCCAGCTTTATGCATGAATTCCATTTTGATTTTTTATTCATGCAAGGAATTTTTATTCACACAAAAAATAAAAGATTTACTGTTATGCAATATTGTAATAACTGTATATAATATCAGCACATTTGTGAATGCATATTAGACCACCAATTGACGTGTATTAGATGTGTGATGTGATTTGTTTACTCTTGAACATTAGGAAAAATCAAACATTTCTGCTACTTTGAGCTCAATTTCAAGGTACTTTTGGTCCTCAAATTAATCAAACTTATCACTATTTCTGTAATATAGTATCTTCCATTCTATCAAATGAGACCACAAAACCATGAATGCAACTATAAAAACCATATGAAAATTCACCACAAATTCGCTGTTTTAAACCAAAAACATAGCTGCATTCTTTCTCATTATGCACTGTGTGCTGCAGGATTTTTTATATGATGCACAATTACCCAAAAGAGCCATTTTCTCATATCTCGGCCCAAATTTGCAGCTCACAGCTTATCTGAGTGAGCTGGGCTCATGGCATAGTACTATGGCACAGACACTGGCTTCAAAGCAGTAGAACAATGGCACAAACACCGAAAGGGTTAAATCTATGGTTCTTGACCAATCTCTTCTAAATAAATATTAGTTCTCTATACAGTAAGGCCCCACTAACACAGCAAGTTAGGTTCCAGGGTACTGACAGAAAGCGGACATCGCTGGAAAGCAGGACGCCATTTTTTCCACTTATAAATGTCAGATAACAAGTTTACACTAACACGTATTAACCCTTTTACTGTCACTGTCAGTGACGTATAGGTACGGCTTGCAAGCCAGTGTTGGTGACGTATTATTACCCCAAAATTCTAGCAGCTTCAAAGCTAGCAGGAGAAAGCTGGTAGACCTACATGTTAGAGAATGGGTCTGTGTGGTCAGTGTGCACAGTATAAAAAAAAACCCTGCAGCACACAGTGCATTTTCGTGTCAGAGGAAAGAAAGTCTCCCTGATAACATTGAGTATACATAGTGTATAGTGTATACTACAGTGGCTCCCTAGTATATTGATGATAAAGGCTAAAGTGTCATTTGAAAACTGGTGAATTTGTAAATGAAGTGATAAGCCTATAAAGGCAGGTGCCAGAAGTCGCCAGAAACTTACCACAGGTCAGCTGTTTTAATAATCTTCCTGGCCGGCTAGTGTACTCGCATATAATCTAGTGATACCAGTGAATAGCAGAATACAGTGTTGTAGTAGCAACTAACCAGTATTATAATGGTACTTAGTGGAGTGGAGTGACTTTCATTAGTTTCTTTTTCTTGAAATACCAGACGTTACTGTGAATTTCATATAACATGTAGTTACCAGCGGTCGCAATATACACAACGAGAAGCAATTATTACTACAGAAAAAGCGTCCTTCCTCCAAAATTTGCACCAGTCAACTATAGTGATAATATAGCATTATTGTGTGGAGACGGAAAAAAAAAAATAGAAAAGCTAGATACAGCGATTGATAAACAAGGGTTGAGGTCGACCGTTCGTCACTGTAGGAGCTGCCAGCAGTCACCGATTTCTTCAACACGCAAGTTATACTTTTGTATCAATCAAATAACATATTACTCGGGTAGATAATTTCCAGTAGATCCTTCATGTGTTAGCTCAAATCACCGACCAGTATGTTTTAAATAAGTGACCCACTGATCAGATCAGATCGACTGGTCGAACCTTGACTGGTCCAACCCGGGACTGGTTTCAAACGGTTTCGTTGGACAATAAAGCAGACTAAAAGGATGGGTTTAGGCGCCCATATAAAACAAACATTAAAAATCAGGAACGTGACGATAAGCTGTCCATATAAAAAAACGTTAGAAACAAAAATAAAAATAGCTGAGTTCTTTTTTTTTTTTTTTTTTTTAAACAAGTGGGCCCCGCCCCACCGGGGGCGGGGTGACCCAAAAAAAGAAAGAAAAAAAAAAAGAAAATACTTTATCACATTCAACACTTTCCCCACACTCGCCTTACACTGTTTTTGCAGAGGTGCTAGAATACAACAGTCTAAAAGATACCATAAAAAGATACCAACATATCCCCCCAAAACTCCCAAATACCCCAAACCCCCCCTTTTTAAAGTGCAGGCATTGTACTTCCCATTTCCGGACTCAAGTCCGCATATGAAAAAAACGGTTTCCCTGAATCCCTTTCCCTAAATTTACCCTGCTCACACTCCAACAGATCGTCAGGCCCCCAAATACCCTTCTCTCCATTCACTCCTATTAAAAACCTCACGCCGCTTGCTGGAAGTCCAAGCCCCCCCTTCCCAAAACCTCCCTTTTCCCCCTCTCCCAAACCCTTTCGAGGGCCCCTACCCGCCTTCCTTCCCCTAAGTTTATATGCTTTCCATGTCATTCTCTTTGTCCTTTTCTCTAAAAGACCAAAACCCCCTCAAAAACCCCCCCTCGCCCTTGACTAAAACTTTTATTAATCCACACCTTCTCCTAATTTCCACACTGAATTTTCCATAATTTTACACCACACTTGCCCCTTAAAAAGGGCATTCCACGCCTCCAAAACCCTCTCCCCCCTGCTGCATTACCACCCAAGCTTCAACCCATTAAGAGTGTTTGGGACACTATCTTTTTTACATACCCCTTTTTTGCCCCATAGATAAGTTTTTTTTTACTCCCTTACCTCAACGCACCCCCACCCTTTTTTCCCCCATCAAAATTTTATGATTAACCCCTCTTCAAAATCCATCCGCCCACACTCAACCCCCGTAAACTGAAAAAAATTCATTTTTTCCATACACTCCTCCCCAATTTGATATCCAATTTTTCTTTATCCAAATCATTTGACACCCTCATCACCTTACTCTTTTCTATGTTCACTTTCAACTTTCTACCTTTACACACATTCCCAAACTCATCCACTAACCTTTGCAATTTTTCTTTAGAATCTCCCATAAGCACAGTATCATCAGCAAAAAGTAACTGTGTCAATTCCCATTTTGAATATTCAAGAGGTTGCTAGTAGAATTGCAGTAAATCAACCATTCAAATCATTATGAAGCTGTGTGTAGTCTGTGGTCAGTCAAACAAACGGGCTTCCACATGGATAAATTGTCATTTTTGTGGAAATTGGTGTCACGCCCCTTGTGCAGATATTCAAGAACTAGCTACAAGCAGTATTAAAACAGAGAAGTGATTTTGGGTATGCCCAAATGAGGAAAATCTGTGGACTAAAATCACAAGGGTATTAAAAGAGGACAACATCAAAGATGCTTTCATAGACAACCGGAAGCTTTCCCACAACAGATGGGAACATAAAAAGTCTGGGCTGAATGGTAAATGCCCTTGATACTGGCCATGTAGTCACAAACTGTAAGGCTGGAGGTGATGTCCTGGTAGTCAGTAAATGTGGGGCTGATAGTGCTGTCCTGGGAGACAGTAATGGTGAAGCTGGAGGTGCTGTCCTGGGAGACAGAAATGGTGAAGCTGGAGATACTGTCCTGGGAGACAGTAATGGTGAAGCTGGAGATTTTGTCCAGGTAGTCGGGAATTATACGCAGGAAGGAATACATATAAATGACCTCATAGGAGACAGGAGCCATAGTAGGGAAACAAGTGTAGTCAAAGATAAGATAAAACCAATATTGCAAACTAAAAATACCGCAGGAAATAGCAAACAAGAGGACTCCAATAGCAATAGTGAGGATAAATTACCAAAAACAACTGGTGGGAGCTCCATTGTTGGTGCTAGGAGGATAGAAGTAAGACAGGGAAACATGCACCAACAGGGAATACAGTCACAGAAACCCAAGGCAAGCGGAAACCAAGCCTGTGCACATACTATGCACTTAGAAATCTGCTGGCATGGGAAATCTGGAAAAACAGATGGGACATGCAACTATGACCACCCTAGAAAATGCCATGCCCATATGACAACAGGAAAATGCAAACTCCCTTCCTGTAAGTTTTTTCCCACCCTGAAATGTGTACCTCTTCAGTACAGGAAAGACTGTGCTATAACTTAAATTGCCAGGCAACCATCTAAAGGGGACAAAAAGATACAAAACATCCAGGCCATGGGAAAACCCTGGGTAGCCACAGCCACTCAAGAGGGAGAGGTTTTTTAGTGCCAGGAAGGAAAAAAAACTGGCAGGAAATGGCAGAAATCGTAACCCAAATCCAGTCATTCCTGGAGTGGAACCACAGTCGATGGCCTCCACTCCAAACCAACAGATACAGATACTAATGCGGAAAAAAAATCCCCCCCCAGTACCAACAATACCACCAGTCCGATAACATTCTTCTTTGCAAATATACAGGGTCTAAAGCCAGCAACAAACAACAAAATACCTTTCATCTGTGGACTGCTTGCAGAGGCAAAGGCAATGTTCGCGGCTTTCACTGAGACCCACATAAAGGATCACTTGGACAATGAAATATGGATCCCAGGTTACAACCTATACAGATGTGACAGAGTGAACAGGCAAAAGGGGGGGGGTTGGCCTGTACATTGCAGAGTCACTTGTTTGCACAGAACTGCTTAATGCCTCAAATGATGTAGTGGAAGTTTTAGCAGTAAAGGTAGAGAACCAAAACCTAGTCACTGTGGTAGTCTACGAGCCTCCGGATGCAACATCCCAGCAATTCCAGGAACAGCTGTTAAAAATTGAACCACTGTCTGGAAATCTTCCAGCTCCTGCACCCAACATCTTGCTCCTGGGGGATTTCAACTTAAGGCACCTAAAATGGAGGAATATAGCAAATAATATTGTTGCAGTAATAACACCAGGAGGCAGCTCTGATGAAAACTCACACTCACACGAGCTTTTAAATCTCTGCACAAAATTCAATTTAAACCAGCAAATAATAGAGCCTACTAGA